TGTGTGCACAAGCATTTCCCCTGTGCAGCATTCACAAAGAAAGTTCTCAATTTTTAACTACCACAACCCATTTATGTGATCTAACTGAATGGAAGGAAACAGCCTTCTCTGTGCTGGCTGCACCAGTTCAACCATGGGACTGCAGAATCAAAGTTCTCTTTCTCCATTAGCAATCTTACAAAATTAGCTGTTGCAATTTCACTTCTCTCTGATGATCTGGTTTCAGAAAAAGTGTGGCTACTTTCAAATGGTAATGTTTCTGGAGGAAGGCTTGTACTTCCATGGTGTGAGGAAGCCTGAGAAGCTTTCCCAGCAAACAAAAACTCTCAGAAATAAGAGTATGGGAGCTGCATTAGCAGTATGACTTCAAGATACTTAAAGCAAGCACTCCAAGAACTCTTGCAGTTTGTTTACTTTCATCTGAGCTAATTCAGTCCAAACACACCAGTCAACATACCACGTACCAGGGATATGGTGAGTATCTGTTTGAAATCAAAACTTCCAGATAGTCACATCTGGGTTGTGTAGGCATAGTCCTATCCTCACACAGATTTTCAGTGCTATCTATAGCAGCTAGGGTGACCATGCTGTTCCTGTTCCAATGCAGACAAGTGGTTTGTGTTCATTCAACTGTCTACTGCAACAATATAACGACTGTGAAGACTGGAGAACATTAATTCCTTTCAGGGAGATGTAATTTTTATTTACATACACATGTGGGTATGTATTTACACACATGTACAGAGTCTCTGTATGCCTCTGATTAGAAATACAGATATTGAATTCAAAGCACGTAGCATAAATCAGCACAGATCCTGATCCTCTACACCTTTCCAAATTCATTATGTTGTTAGAAACTGCAGTTGCTTCTTTTCCCAGGATCAATTTAAGGATACACTTAGAGTGTCTAGTGTTCTCAGAGACAGACAACGATGGTGGGAAAATACAGTCGTGCAAATTCTAGGTAGTACACGTATGTTTGAGATAAAATACTTACAAAAGCTATCTTCCAAACCAGCTTGTGATACTTTTTGAAGGATTCTAAAGAAACAGAAAATGATCAGACGATTCACTTTCTAGAGGTTTTAATTCCCCATTCTTACACGCTGGCAACCGTGCAAATTACAAAGATTTGGTCGTGATTTGCTCCCAATCGTTTGTAAAGCCTCTTGAGGGAGGTCAGGATAAAAAAACAACACTGAATATGTCAGAAGCTGCACAACCGAAAAAATGGCAGAAAATGTTAACTTTGGTCAGATTTCCAAATTTCACTCATTTCTTAGAAAGCAATTAGCAACTTTCTCACTCTGTTGGTAAATGTGTCCCCAAAATGTAAGAAATTATTTCCAATCTTCAGGGACAGCCATCCCCAATGTAAGAGCTCAGAAAAACAGAAACTTCATTTGCACAAAGTGTACATGGCAGTACTGCAAGTGGTGGCTCACCAGCACATCAATCCATGATCACTGAAAATAATCATCACTGCTGATAAGCATTTTATGTGAGAAATCAACACATAGGATCTAATCTGCTGTCTGGCATCCTCAGGTCACCTCTCTTGGCAGAGGCCATCAGAAGATAGCCATCTCACCTGCTCACCATACCTACATGGAGTGCTTCAGAAGACATTTTTTGATCAAACACAACGGGTACAAAAGCAGGAACCAGAAGCGCATGTGCTTCCAGCATTTTCATCAGATGACAAGAAAGTCAAAAGGTCTCACTGAGCACGAGGCTACAACTCAGAAGGCAGATGCGAAGTAGAATGGAAAGGGAGCTAGGGGTGTGTGCGTTGGTGCGTGCGTGTCTCACTAAGTACTCCCTTGCTCCCTTCCTGTGTATTACTAAAATGTGATTCTGTTGAAGGGGTAGCAAGGCCTTTAATCACTAATGCTCCTTCTGTGGAGGTGAGCTCTCTAAAACCAATCTGACATCAGGAAATACCTGAAGAAAAAAAAATTAAATCTGTCCAACTGCCAACCTGTATCACAAGGGTGGTTAGAAGGAAGAAGCATCTCCCAAATACTTAATGACTCGTGACCCAGAAATCCAACCTATTTGATCTGGGCCAGCACTCTTGCAAAGGAAAAATTTACAGCTGCATGGAAGATGTCCTACTTCTTTAAGGACAAATGACAAAGATATTATGGCTGAACAAAGTGAAATGGTTGGTAAGCACTCCAGTTACTACTGACAAGACAATCCTTCCCAAATTTACCACCACATTACATTCTGATTTCACATGAAGGTGCAAGAATTCCTAAGCCACGTGCTAAAAACCTCAGAACGTAACCATGATCACAAGATTCTGCTGCCAAGGGAAGGTTGCAATTGAAGTGCTCTTCCCTCTCATTCAGGCTGACCAGTGCCCCAGACTTTCTGAAGACAACTTCAGCAGGAGCAGAAATATGAGTAGGAGTGCTCAAGTCATTCAAAACTTTTCAAAGGACAAATTAGTCAAATTCCACTTGCATTACATACTTGCAGGTTAAAAGTCAGTTCTCATTCCAAACAGAGGCACCAGTCCTTTTTTTTTTTTTTTTTTTTTTTGAATGTCCTGGCCTAACCATGGATCACTGTATACAAGATGAATTGAAATCATTCCTATGAATAAATAATTCATTTTGGCTTTTTTACTAAAGATTGACTTTTCCTAATATGCTTTTTCTCTTAACCACAGTTGACATAATTCCAAGACTACACAAAACTCATTCTCCTCCTTACCTCATTTAGTATCCATGCAATTTACACTTCTTATATCCTCTCAGGTCACATCCTCTGCTAACGAACAAACTAGTGCACTGGACTGACTCTCAGGACCTATTATGTAGTTCTCCTTGAAAAAAGGCACTGCTTTTCTGACTACTACTTTCAGGGGAAGAGCGGCTCACCTCCCTGCAACCCTACAGCCTGAGACAGCACAGAGGCAGTTAATTTGCAAAGAACGAATTTCTCCTTACTCACATTGTTATCCCAGCACCCCCCTAAATTCCTCAGACTGAAGAAAAAAAAAATACTGAAAGAACCCCCTGCCGCCCCAAGAAAGCATTCTTCAGAGTAGCAAGTTCACTTTAATCAGCGGAGGCAGCTTAAACCCAAGTTCATGGTAGATCTAAGCTGCCACAGAAATGTGTTTTGAGCAGAAACATTATGGGAAGCTTCACAAAGTTGTTCTGTGATCCTAATATGAAGTAATAAGCTGTTTACCCAGCATGACTGTACTGGGATTAATTGACAAAGGAGGGGAGATTAATTGCTGTTATTTCCCTGTCAGCTTCACTCCTCCACATGCACTCACTGATCTCAGAGACTGCTCACAGCCTTTCACTGTGTTAATGTGTCAGAACTACCTCAGATGAAACAAAGTCCTTTACCGAAAGCAATATCCAGAAGAGCAACTTGCTTCTAATCCCCTTCAAGTACTAATGAACCCAGATTTGATGCAACAGAATGAACTGTAGCACTCTGCCCATCATCCTGTGTTCCTGTCAGCTTTTCTACCCATAAGCACACTAAGAACTGGAAAGGATTAAACAGATCTGCAGTGTGGCAGAGCAAAATGAAATTCTGAACTCTGTGAGGGGTGCAGAGGCAATGAAGGAGGAAAAGAGAATAGGGCATGCATGGGAGTGGGAATTATGAGACGCAGGATAAACCTTAAACCATCTCTTTAGACAATATCTTCGTTCATGAGTGCAGCACTGTAACTAATGAAAAAGTGCCATTAAAAAAAATTCAGTAAGAGCCTATTTTCAAAGGCCACAGCTACAAAAGCAATTTTTTCTTTACCTAGCCTAAATTAGGAATCCAAAGCAAACTGGCTACACCATGAAGTCATACAAAGAATTCAGCCCAGTGAACAGAATGTGTTAACTAGGAGTCGACTTGAGATTCTGGGTGTGAAAGTACCTGTGATAATGAGTCTTCCCAGCAAAAAGTTGGGCAGACTTGCTCCAACTCTGCTCAACCATTATGAGGGAAAACAAAACTTTCTCACATAATACAGACCTAAGACTCTGGAATGCTGCTACCTGCTGTTCCAAGAAATCAAAAGACAATTTTATACTGGCTTCAAGTTTTTCTTTTTCCCACGAGATGGCAGCCTAGGAACACTGCAGAAAGGTTATATCCACCTCAAAAATACATGAATATTAGATTGTGCTGGGGACCGCCTTTCTTACAAGCTACTTTTTGGTGCAGATTGTTCAAAACAGAGTACATACAGAATTAAAGATGCAGAAATACATCAATATTCTAAACTGATTTAAGAGTTAGCATCAGTCAGCAGTGCACCCTCCCAACAGAGCTGTGTACTCACTATCCCCTAGTTTCTCAGCCAGAAAACTGAGACCCAATAGGGTCAGGCAGGGCATTTGTATAAGAATCTAAACTGCCTGCTCCCTTGTAAACAGAGAAGGCTGCATTTGCTCACATCACAAAAGACCTTTTGACCTCCTAACATGGCAAATTACTGCCTTCAGCCAAAAATCTCTGGCTCTTATCATCCAGGGGTGTTAGGGATGAGAGATGTTTTACAGATGTTTTATGTGCTGACGATCCAATCTGCTACAATCAGTAGCTTGTGACATTCAAAGCATTATGCACCTTTTAAAATGTATTCTGTTATGTTTTATTTGAATGTTTTTTGTTCATTTTCACAGCTCATATGTAAAAAACCACTGTTCTCCCAGAGAGCTTTCACTCCAGGATGCAGATCCCCAGATAGTCTGCTCTTTATAGACTTTTCTATATAGCTGTCTGTTTCAAATTCTAGCTTAGGGTCTATCAACTTGCTTGATCAAAGTCATGCAGTTTTTTTGAGCACTGACAGAAATCCCCCTTCAAAGCTACTGAGCTCCCCACAGTTTCTCTCAGTCCTTCCTAGAAGCCTGGTACACTCAGTCCTGGAATCCAGTCCTGCAGCCAAACAGTAACACAGCAACTCCGCATTAGTTAGCCAGACTGACTTGATTCCAGCCACCCACTTTCACCAACCTTACCTGAATAACCTGGTAAACACTGACAAAGAAAGCCATCAACAAGGTCCACGCAGTGACCGCCATTCTGACACGGCTGGGACTCGCACTCATCAATGTTAGTAAAGCAGGTCTCCCCTTTGAAGTGAAAATACAAATCGCCAAGGTTAGTGCATGCATGCATCAGTGAAGGATACAAACTGCATTCATGATGTTTTGCCATTCTTTACTGTCTTCTAAAAATGCAGAAGAATTCTGTAAACTGTGCGTGCCTCTCTTAACACTCTGATAAATAGATTCTATAATTGAAACAATTATGCAAAATGAAGCAAGGAAAGCTTAATGATTTGCCTGTGTCAGGAAAGGGAACTGGCGCAGAATCAGAACTTCTGCACAACAGTGGACCAAACTCTCATCTTCTTATTAAAAAAAACAAAACACAAAAAGCAACCCCACAATAAAGTAGTATTGTTAGCCTCTCCTTCCAAGTATTTTCCCCAGCTCTTAAATCCATGCTTTTATAGATATTTATATAAACCAGGGGAAGGGGTGGGTGGTGTTTCACCCATTTCACCCATCATTCCTATCTACTCAAATACAGTCCATCTGTAGCAGAAAGAAGGCAACATTTACCACAAAGCCTACCTGCAAAGCCTGGCTGACACCAACAGAGGAAACCAGCTGCTTGGCTGTAGCTGAAATCATTGGGGAAGTCAGGCTGTGAGCCATAATAGGACTGGTTGGATCGCTCAAAGCACACACCTCCGTTGTGACAGGGATCTGTCGCACACTCGTTCACATCCTCTTCACAACGCTGCCCTGTGTAACCTGCCAAGAGACATCTGTGTAAGGATCACACACAACTGCATTAAAACTAGTCACCCAAGTATTGTGGCTTCTCATCTTGAGGATGAGAATAGGAACCAAAAGACATTGCAACTCATTGAGTAAGGAGTCCCAGAGTCCTCCAGTTTCTCCAGCACGTCAAAAGGAGGGAGCCAGATAAACGATTTGCAAGAAACCATTACTTTGTGATAGAAAAACACACACAGGGAAAAGGCAGAAAAGAAGAGAAAGGAAATTTTATAGTTGAAGATCAGGGTGCATTTCCCAACGAAGAGGTTCATCTGATCCTGGATGATCAGTAAAGGGAGATGCAGTGGTAGCCTCATTGTTTTGGATAACAAAACTTCACACTGGACCATGTTGTATGGTTGTTAAATCCTTACTGCTTCAACAGGGCAACTGAGCACGTGCTCTCTGTTGCAGTATGGTTAGGGGCTGATATATGAAATAGATTTCAAACTTACCTGTCCAGCAGGCACAGCTGTAGTTCTTGATTCCTTCAACACACGTGGCATTGTTCAGACAGGGCTCAGAGGCACACTCCAGGATATCCAATTCACAGTGGTCCCCTTCAAAGCCTGTGTCACTGCAGTCACATTGGTAACTGTGGGCAACAAAACAGAGTGATGCAGAAGGTCCTGATTTCATTGTTGAGCTCATGTGAAGAAAGAGCAAACAGCTGCTGGAGTTAGCCTTCATGTGCATTTGTGGGCAGAGGAAAAAGACAGGTCCTTCTGGGCAAACAGGCCACACTAATCAGAGAGCAGATGAACCTCAGTGATCTCTAAACCTACAGTATGCCTGTGAAAGGCACACTGACACAGGCACATTCTCACCAGCTGCTTGCGCTGATCATGATCTGCAAATCACTTCCCTTTGCATCTGATATGTCAGACAGAAGCAAAAACAGGAACCTTTTTTTAAGACTCCGAGGAGTTCTGCTACTGGAACAGCCCCTCTCACATGCTGCCATTAACCACTCCTTCAGTTACTACCACTGGGATGTACAAAACACTAAATCCAATTCTCTCCATGGATTTCTAAAGAAGAATTTTACATCAGTACTGGTATCTAATTGCACAAATACTGATTTCTCACCTGTTAATGAGGTCATGACATGTCCCATTGTGCTGGCATGGCTGGCTTATACATTCATTGATGTCCACCTCACACTGGACTCCTTGGTAACCTGGCATACAGGTGCAGGTGTAGAACCCAATGTGATCGCTGCACAAGGCCCCATTCTGACAAGGGTATGAATCACATTCATCTATTTCAGCTTCACAGTTTATTCCTTGTTAGAAAAGAGAGAAATATTCATGTTAAAAATCCATCAAAGTCTGCACTGCTTGCATTTCTGAGCTGGAATTGCAAAAGCCATGTTATCACATCCAACTGGCCAGCACAGTGATCTTTCCTCATTTTGCTGTAAAAACACTGAGAGCTTATGAACAGTGTGCAATTCTTAGAGATTAAGGGCCTTTCACTATTACTGAAAAACGGAATTGTTTTCTTCAGGCTTCGGGATGTTAGTCTTACAACAAAACTAGAAGCAGTTTCCAGAATTTACAGAGCTTTAGTTTCTCTCATTTGGGTTTGCTGAAGCAACCAGCTGGACAGCACTTCACAAATGACATTCAATTTCTGTGTAAACCATGCTGATCTGACTTACATGCACACCTTAAAACTCTAAGAGCTGTTCTGACTGGGAATCCGTTCAGGGTGGAAGGACAGGGATGAGAAGAGAAGAGACACACTGCTGGTTAGGGTTATTCAAACTTTCATTTATTATATAGCTCTTACAGTTTAAGTTAGACACAGTACTCTTCACTAGCGTTGTGCTGCTATGGTGAAGGGAGTTTTGCCTTAACCAGGTCCAGTGTTCTACATCAAAGGCAGTTGCATTTTGGGAAAGGAAAAAGTAATCACTACCTGGCTCCCCAAGACATTGATCCATTTGTTTAAATAATATTTGTAACTGGCTTTGAGATACCTAGAAAAAAAGGCATTAAGGCAATGCAAAATGCTAATTACAGTGATACTGTATATTAGTAAGTCACTGTATTATGAAATGTTACTAAAATTTAGGCATTAGCTCTACGTATTAATAATCAAAAGCAAAAAGAAATCAGGCATTTTTGGTCCAAAGTCTCAGCTTTCACTAAAAACTCCTATGCAACTATCTTGCCATACTACATTCCACCAGTTGAAACTGTCTATGACCTGACATCATCTCCACGTGTTAGTCACTGCAGTGTACCTGCCAATCCATCTAAGCTCTGCTTCTCGTTAAAGGCTCAGGACTACTGGAGTGGCCATCCTAATCCTCAGGAATGTGGGCCCCCTAATCTGCTGATTCAAACCTGTCAATACCCATGCAAAACTCCCTTCACCCAAATTCCAGATGAAAGCCCCAGGAAACAACCTGCCTCAGCAACCAGCGGTGCTAGAACCTCTGAGGTTAGGATGAAGTACCAGAACATAAAGCTCATATCAACATCAGAATAACTTGGAGTACAAACTCCTCCTGCTGCTTGGGTTATTTTATCACCTCCTTATCAGGGGAATCCCATAATCCTTAATAGACGATTCAAGAAAAGAGTCAAAGGAAACTGATTCGCAAAATTATGTTTGATACCCCAAATCAGTGCCAACCTTAAGGCCTACAGAGAAATTCTGCTCTTTTCCTCCCAAGTCTCTGCTCGTTTTTATCAGAGTGACTCAGCATCAGGCACATTCCTGATGTTGCATTCCACTGGTAATCAGCAGCATTCCTTCACAGCAACCTAACTCTTGAAACACTTCAATCTGTGACACTGAGGAAGGCTGAGAAAGTTCATGTGCTAAGTGGTACCAGGCAGAAATGGGCACAGTACAACCGCATTCCACTCTGATAGCAGGACTAGGAGGAGAACCTCCCACTGCCTGCTTCACAGATAACTCACAGGTGTAGATTACTCTGAGTCATCAATAGAACAGATGCACATAAAAGGGGTACTTAAGTCATATGCCAAGAAACATTCTCCAGACAAAGAACTGAAAAAGAAGTGTCTAAATGAAAGCCACTTTATTCTAAAGATTACTCCCCTCAGACAAATCCTGCAAGACAGGACAAAGAACTACAAACCAGCTAAACAGTTATACTTGAAAACACTAACTGTACTCCTCCTGATACTAAATCTCTTTTCTTGTGTACCTCCTTTTGTTAATAGTGAGGCTAATCACACCTACATGATATCCAGTGCTCCTAGCCCCAGATAGTGCCCCCACATTCATTCTTAGATAACGCCTCTCAGCATCTATACCATCCATGGAAATCAGCCTCAACTATTTCTTGGAAGCCACAAACACTAAATTATTCCAGCATGGAACCAGACACTCTGAGTTTAGGCATTTAGTCTCACAGCTGTAAAACAACAACTTCTCATGGCAGCTACTAACACTACTAAACTTGTCAGCAGCGAGACACATTGTGGAACAACATGAATAGCAAGATGTAATCCAACCAACATTGTAGTGTACGAGCACGAAAGGGTACCTGTGTAGCCGGGGATGCACTTGCACAGATAACGATCCATCTCATTCAGGCAGGTGCCATTGTTTTTACAGGGCCGGGATGCACACTCGTTGATGTCTATTTCACAGTTGTATCCTTGGAACCCAGGCACACAGAAACAGCTATACTCATTCACCCTGTCTCGGCAGATGGCTCCGTTCTGGCACGGGTTGGAAGCGCACTCATCAATGTTGTCTTTGCAGTGGGTCCCAGTGAAGCCAGGTTGGCAGATGCAGGCAGAGTCCCCAGGACCCTCGACACACGTCCCGTTATTTAGGCAGGTGTGGTTAGAGCACACAGAGCTTTGGCAGCCCTCGTTCAGTCCTGTTTGGCATTTACAGGCGTATCCACTTACACTATCTACACATTCAAAACGAGGATCTTTACAAGGGTTGCTCTCGCACTCATTAATATTAATGCTACAATCAATACCTGTAAAGCCAGGCATACAGATGCATTCATATTCTGGAAGTCCTGGAGTATTGTTGCAAGTCATATGGGCAGGGCAATCATGTTTGGTGCATGCATCGTAGAGGAGTTCACAGTTTATGCCCATGTAGGCTATGGGGTGCATGGGACAGATGCACTGGTACCCCACTTCCAAATCCTTACAGCTCCCACCATTTTCACATGGGGATGATGAACAATTGCTATTATTTTCAGAGTACGAAGTTCCTGTTGAGAAAACAGACATATTGTTAGTTAGCATTAAGTAGCTTAGGAAAATAAAAGCTCTTCTGCCAATCACCACACACATCTCAGAGGTATGTTTTAAGATACTGACTGATGCTTAATGTCTCAGCTGCTGCTTCTAGGGATTCTTTTTGTTTTTTCTCTGAGCTAGTCCACTAGTGATGGTATCAGAGCACAGCACTAGCACTTAACCTACTTTTTACATGCCAGTGCATAAACAGCTCTTCATCATTTTTGCTATGTTCTGTATATAACTGTGGGTCAGCCAGCAACAGGAAGTCTCTGGGAAACCCCACAGCTCGACAGATAACAGTGGCAGGTAACAAACAGCCAGGAGCCCGCACTGCTCTCACTGCCCACAGCTCTCTGCCTTCACTGCAGTGCTGTTTTTGAGAAAGGCTGTAAGGTGCTGTTCGCCATTCTAAGGATTTGCCAGGATCACACACCATAGCATCACTTCTCAGCTGACCTTAACCATTCTCACATTCACGCCATGGTTACCCCAGCCCATTTCTGGTTATATTTGCCTTGCTCTGATGCATCTTCTACACACTCAGTTGTTAATCTGTGTCAGTGGTTTTCCATCAACCCAGTACCCCATCAGTTCCCCAGCCTTTGTATGTGAACGTAGAGGCATCCGGCTTTAGGGCCTGAAAGGGATTTATAGGAGACTTCGGTTTACAAAAGCCTGCCCCTGCCCTGACCTCCCCCTAATTCCTCCCACCAGAAGACTGGTGATATTAAGTCTTCTTTTAAGATGCAGTATTGATGGGGGAGGGAGGGTGTTCAGGGATTTAGGCAGCCCCTTCTATTCCCATCATCATCTCTATTGCTTACCCCTCCCCTTCCTCTCTCATATGATGCTGGGGAGAGTTGCTGAGCATTGCACTGTCCAGCACTCTCATTATTCCGCCATGAACCCTTTTATTCTCAGATTCCCAGTCAGGCAGAAAACAAGGATGACGGAATCTGCCTGGAATCTCTGCAGCAATTAGGATGGGAGCCCAGGAAACTATTCCCAAAAGATTTACTAGACAGGAGATATGAGCTTTTGTAAACTTAATGAGTAACCAGTCCCAGCCTGCACTTTCCAGAGGCCAGAAGTACAGTCTGTGACAAGACCATAAAACCACTGTGTGCTCAGTATGATTTCTCTGATTCGCAACAGAGTTCATCTGTAAGGAAATTCACATTTAAACTAGTCAGCAAGCACTGCTAGTGTAGGAGGCTGCAGTCATCTCAAAGGCTGCATGCACCATTTTCAGCTTCCATTATAAGCAGGTAGTCTAAACACTTCTTGCAAATAAGGATGCATAAAATTAATTTCATGTTACCTTCTTTTCCAACATCTCTTCCCAGCAGGTACACCTTTCTGCACCTACTCTAATTTGGTTCATCATATGACTGCATTGCTCAGTAATCTGTATTAGTCATTAATTCTTGTCCATGACAAAAACATTCAGTCAAATACAAAAGGGCTGAACTACGCAGATACCAAGTTAAGCACACGTGAAGTTTTTTTAAGAAGTCAGAAGTCCCTCTTGGTTTACCAAAGAACGGTAGCAAATTAATAGGTAAAATCCCAGTCTCCTCAAAGGTCACTACAGTTACCAACAACAACAGCAGAAGCTGTCTTGCTATGTGTAACAGAATCAGTTATGCACAGGATGGCATAGAGAAAAGTCATTTCCTGCATTGCTACTGGATTAGATTTTAGCTTCTTTCTGTGATCAAATGTTACTTGAATTAGATCTAAAAGTGATGACATCAGTAGGACCTGGGACCTTACTGAAGAAAGGAGAAAAATGTTCCCATTTTTGGGATTAGTTATTAATAAAAACTGTATGTAATCATATTGATCCACAGACTCTGAATGCCATGGGTCTCGATAGTTAACAAAATTTCTTCTTCCTGCTTTCTGTATTTTATCTTCTAATTGTAAATTTAAAACATTCTTGGCCTCAGGCAGAAGAGGCAGTTGGATGCACTGAAGGCAGGGCCAAGTTGAAAGCAAAATTCCTCTTCACTTCTTCCCAACTCGTCTCAGCTCTTGCTGAACAAGGCAGTGGTCATTACAGGAACTGCTGCACCTCTTGGAATTGAAAATCAAACAGGTTATTAGCAAAGGTTCCTTTCCACTCCCTGTGAGAGCTCTTCAGCTGGAGATGCTTCGAGCATAACACTGGAACCTTTCCACATCAAAAGATGGGTGCATCAATTAACCTTTTCCCTTAACAGACCAATGCTAGGCAAGGAGAAAGGTCATTTCTAGAGACAGCAGATTTCTAAAAGAAAAAGATTTTGAGGAGAGACCCCAAACCCTTAAGTGCCTGTGAGAACTAAGCAGTTGGCTGCTGGTGGGGATGCCCAGGCAACACTAGCTGAGATCCTGAAGTAGCACTGCTCATTGGACATGGATGGAGCCAGCTGAGGAAACTGCAACTGTATGTCACATGAAATAAAATGGTACCAAAATCATTTCAAATTATTCTGTGAACTATAGCTTGCAGATAGTCATCACTGCATTTCCCCTGCCCAGTAGAGGCTGTAGTGACATTAACAACACTAGCTCCAAGAATATATCACATATACTAATTAAACTGCAATATTTCCCCTGGACAAAACATGTTTCCAGGTAAACACAGCGTAGTCCTAATACTCATCCAGTGGTAATGCTAAAAGTTTTGGCTAAATAATTTGCCACAGATGAGACATTAATTCTCAACAGAACTTATTACAAAGTGATCTCAGAAAAGACAGTCTCAGCAGTAAGAAGTAAAGCACTGATGACATCAGCAGAAAGCTAAACACACTGCGTGCAAAATAACCTACATGGCTACCAGAAATGTAGGCTACCACCAAGACTGAGAAAGAACATGCATGGTTTTATTTTTTTTTTTAAGCTCTGTTTCTGATATTTTCATCAATCTGCTCCAGGACATACAGTAATTCCTCTCAATTTTGGAACAGATTACCATACATGAATATGCAAACAATGCTAATAAGAATAACAAATTAGCCTTTCCTGCTACACAACATACTGACCATAAAAACAGGCAATTCAGACCACACTTATATGTTTTATGAGACATGAGAGTAGTCACCAAGAGCCAGGAGTTGTAACTTTCCACAGCAGCTGTTGGTACTGAATTAACAAAGACATTCAGGATTTCTCCTTTACCTTTCACAGGAATAACACAAATAAGTGACATTTGAAAGTGAAAAAACATGAAAAAAATAATGCAGTAATACTGTCCTGCAATCCTACTCGAAAATGAAACTGGAGAAGACTACAGTTTCTTTGAAGAACACGTTCCAGGAATTTAGGGTTGGATTAGAAGGGACTTCAAAGGCCAACAGTCAGATATAAAGCATTCCTTGAGCTTTCTCAGGATAGGTCTGGTTTTGCACTTTAGAAATAGCTGACAAAGGTTCTCCCTAAAGGTTGGAGTTTGTGACCTTTTCTATCACTTTAAGGCAAATGAGTTGTTTTGCCAGGCTTTGTTTTAATAATTGCCTTTAATCACTTTATACTTGATAACTTTATTAAATGTTGTTATCAAACAGCAGTTACAACAGCCAGGTATATATCAGCAAAATTAGGAGCAAGAAACTAACAAGACAGCAGGCAGTCTGAGAGCCCTGCAGGAGCTTACCATCCCTCCCCTGAGAGTCGGGAGGAGCCTCTCACTTCATGTGCCAGGACAAGGTGCTCTGCAATGCCAGAGAGCTGTGAGAGCTCACAGACCGCGTGGGAGGAAGAGGCCATCAAGGCTTTTAGTTAAAAAACCACCACAACTGCAGCTTTGTTTATTCTGTTGTCTTATACCTCCGTGGTAATTGTCCCACAGCATGAGTTGCACTGAAGTTCTTCCACAGATTTCCCTCTTCATTCCAAACAAGAGTTGCTAAGACAGTACACAGAATGCATTCACAGCTCACGATGCACTGCTTCAGCATTACTCACTGCCTTGTATCATTTGGTTTTGCTTTTCACAGGTTAGTTTCCTGAGGACCTCAGAAACCAACGACAGATGGTGGATGCTTTGGGGCTGGGGATACACCTGGGCTCACAGAAGATGCTCAGCCCCACACCTTCATGAAAGAAGTCTCTCTCTCTTTCTCTCTCTCACTTTAATTTCCGCAGTTCAAGCTGTTGCTTCACAAGGCACCCCTTAGTTGTCACCTACCAAGTACTCACTGATAACTACCTTAAAGGTGCCCTAGAGGTCACTTAAAATTCCAAGAGGGAAGTAACATGCTTGGGTTGAGATTAGCCCAGAGATTACCTTGCATTTCCCCACGTCCGAAACCAAGTACAGCTGAAGAATGCACACTCTGCTCCTTAAGGTCCTATTTATGTGAAGGAGTCCCAGAAGGAGGAGAAAAGAGATTACATGCTTCGTCTCCTCAATTAGCACTTCTGTTTTCTATTAAGCAAGTTGTACCAGACAGGATTTAGACACATTCTCCTCTATTATTTTAATGATATACTTTGGGAACAGACTGCTTAATGCCTACAAGTTGTAATTTATGTTTCTGAAATTATTATTCATCCATTATGCATTAAGTATGTTTTGTGCAAGGATTTGCCCTGTTAAGTTCTTTGACTCTCAAGATATTTTACATCTTAACCTTGATGATTATTATCTCTGATGAAAATTTATGGCAGACTTAAGAAAGGGGCTTCCTTCAGGTGCATTTCACCAGCCCTGCTTGCTGTAACAACTTGAAAAAGGACAAGTTACAACCAAGCAGTGAGTAAAACAGGCTTCCCAACAGCAGCCCCTAAGTGCACCACAGTAACTGGGCTAGATCCACAGAGGGGGATCCTCAGAGTCTAAAAAAAAAAAACAAAACCCCAATGCTCACCCCAGCACATTTCCTGCTTGGGAAAGATACCAAGGGCAGGAAGGGAACTCAAGCATCAGAGAATTTAGAAATCAGAGAATAAAAAAGGAATGGAAAGAGTTATGTTTCCA